ACTTTTTTTTTTTTTTTTTTGCAGTGCAGGAGATGGAACCAGTGCTCTACCAGAAGTCACATACCCAGCCAGCCCTCTTTCTTTTTCTCTTAGGTCCAAGGGCTAATCTGGGCTTTCTCAGAGGTTTCATGACACCTCAGCTCACTACCCTGCTCCAGGAAGCCCTCTGATGTTTCAGGTCTGGCCAGACATGCTCTCTGAGTACCCACACTCCCCTGGGCTTCCGCCATCCCAGCCCTGATCACTCTATCATCCAGAGATCAGTCTGTTTCCCCCACTGGCCTGGCCATGGGAGCCCCATGAAAGAAGTATCTTGGTCACTGCTGTGTCCCCTGCACAGGCAACGGAGGACTAGACATATAATAGGATATCAGGGAAGATCTGCCATCAGATTAGGAAAACAGGATTATGGGAAGGAAGGAAGGATGCCTTTAAGGTCTGACGGGACTTCAAAATTGAGCGAGAAGGAAGCAAGGGCATTCTGGGCAGTGGGAACAGCTTGAGCGATGTGTGCAGGCAGGAAAGCAGCAGGGTGCTCAGGGGACACTGTGTGCTTAGGCTTAGTTACAGCAGAAGGGTCAGGAGGGGAAAGGGATGCAAACAGGGGAACAAGTCTGAGACAGGAGGCTCTGAATGCACGACTGAGCTACTGAAGGTTCTGGGGAGCCCCAGGGAGCCCCAGCAAACACAAGCAGGGAAAGTATCTGGTCAGAGATGGGCCCCAGAGGCAGCTTCTGGAAAGATAAGGAAAACTGAACATAGGGAGGTCTAGAAAGAAGGCATGTTAGGGATAGATCCACACACCACAGAGGTTACAATGACAGGTTGGAAATTCAGCTAGAACCGAGTTAGACACTAGCTTGGATTTGACTTAGCAAACCCTAGGCAAGTGATGTCACCTCTCTGTGTGTCAGTTTCTTCATCTGCAAAAGGGAGACAATAACAATCCCAATCTTCTAGTGCTGTTGTGAGGATTCAAAGAGGCAACACAAATAAAGCACTTAGAATAGTGCCTGGTAGAGCTGGGTATGGTGGTGCACACCTGTAATCCCACCTACTCTGGAGGCTAAGGCAGGATCCCAAGTCTGAGGCCAACCTCGCAATTTAGCAAAGCCCTAATCAACTTAGTGAGAACCTGTTTCAAAATTTTTTTAAAAAATTGAAAAGCGGGGCTGGGGAATGTGGCTCAGTGGCTCAATCCCTGGTACCAAATTAAAAAATAAATAAATAAAAACAATAGGGGCTGGGGATGTGGCTCAAGTGGTAGTGCGCCCGCTTGGCATGCGTGCAGCCTGAGTTCGATCCTCAGCACCACATACAAACAAAGACGTTGTGTCTGCCGAAAACTAAAAAATAAATATTAAAAATTCTCTCTCTCTCTCTTAAATAATAATAATAATAATAATAATAATAATAATAATAGTGGCTGGTATATAGAAAGGACTTGAATCTATACAGTATGTGATCTCCTTGGACAAATGACTTTCCCTCTCTGTGCCTCAGTTTCCTCATCTGGGGGAGAATAGTATCAGTGACACAGAAGGTTGCTGTGAGGAGTAAATGATTTAACAGGACCAAAGAGCCTAGCAGGGGGTTGGGCATGAGTGACAGCTAGCTACTGTCATTTTTGTTGATATTATTATTATCAGTCACCCACTTCCAGCTCAGCTGTGCTGAATGCCAAGGAGATGAGAGGGCAAGTAGACAAGAGCAATGGCAGAAAGCCCGGTAGGGGGCTCAGCCCTTCAGCATAAGCACCAGCACGTCCAGGCAGGTCTGTTTTCTTTCAGCTGTGGACACACACGTGTGTGAACACGTCCCTAGGAGAGGCATGTGGGGTGAGGGAGGCTCAGGGCAGACTCCAGTCAGTGGCCCCAGCTCAAAGGGAGGACCCAGCAGGGAAGCTGACGAACCAGCGGGTAGACTATGGACTATGTTCCCAGCCCCAGGTGAGGCTCCAGCTTCACATCTGTGCCTCCTCTGACCCTCCCTCCCTGAACCTGCCCAGCCAGCCCTTCTGATTCACCAGGGGAGAACCCCACCCAAGCTGGGGGTGAGGGTGGAGACTGTAAATAAGAGTCTGCAGGAGCTTCTTGGGGAGTTGCAGGGCAACAGGAGACCAGGTGGGTCCCCGGCTGGGACAAGGATTCCTGAGCATTTGGGGTTGGAACAGCCCTTGGAGAATCTGATGAAAGCTGGAAAGCTCAGTGCAGTCCCCAGGGTAGGGGAGGTTCATGACCCCTTAAGGGAGTCACAGAACCCAGACTAAAACATTTGGGGAAGAAAGTGCACTCTCTCTATTCCAATGTTCTTCAGATTTGGGAGGTCACAGACTCCCCTGGAGGAGTCAACAGAAATCATAGAACCTTGCTGCAAAATTATGTGTGCACATATAACCATACAATTTCAGGAGTTGCTGAGCCCCATGAAGTCAGTCATTGTTGACCCCAGATCTAGAGACAAAGGAGGAAGGGGAAAGGAAAAAATACAGAGTGGGGATGCCCAGAGTGGGTTAGTAACTTGGCATCAGAGGAAGACCAGTGGATAGAAGAGATGCCTGGAGATGAAGTTGCTGACAGGTAGAGAATGTCCCAAGCAAAGACTGAGGGATGTGGCTCAGGAGCAGAATGGATCCCACTCACCGCAGACCTATCCTCAGGATCGCTGGTACCTCCGCCCCCAGCCACCAAGTCATCCTCAGATTCGTCAAAAGAAGAGGCAGAGGAGAAGCCACCACTGCCCCCCTCAATTCGGGAGGAGGGTCCCATTGGCTGAGCTTCAGGTTCAGGGGTTTCAGGGGTGATGATGAGGCGGGGCACAGGGCACAGGGAGCTACACTCCAAGTGAGGGTACAGGTGAGTCACCAACTCCCCAGGTTCTGGTTCCTCTAATGAGTCATGTTGGTTGGATTCCCCCAAAAGACATTCTGCTCCAGGTACTGTTTGGAGACCATCTGTGCAAGGCTGTGTCCAGGCTGATTCAGTATTCTGTTGTATCCCAGAGTCATCAGTCTGTGGCTCTGTCCAGGAGCCTTCGGTATCCTCTGGTGCTCTGAATTGTACATCAGTGTACAATTCTTTCCAAGAGCCATCAGCACTTGGTTCTATTGAGGGACAGGTTCCCTCTGAGTGAGTCCGGAGGTTGGACCTGCTCTTATGGGTCCAGAGGTTATCAGCCCAGGGCTTGACCCTCTCTGGCTGGGTCTGCCATCCAAGTATTTCTAGCTCTGTCCAGGGCTTATCATCCTTTGGCTGTGTCCAGAGGCTGGCCCTCTCTGGCTGAGACTGGAGGTCGGATCTGTGAGGATCAGTCCAAAAGCCATCTGTCTCCCTCCAGGGACCGGAGGTCTCCAGCCTTGACCAATGACTCCTTCTTTCTGGATGTGTCTGGGAGCCCGACCGGTCTGGCTCCGTGTTTTGGCTGGGCCTTTCGGTCTCTGCTCCTAGGCCAGCTGCTTCAGGCTCAGCCTGTCCGTCTGTCCAGGATTTTGTCTGCGGGCCATCTGTCCCTAGTTCAGGCACAAGGCCCATTCTGTCGGGCTCGGGGTGTAGGCTGGACCCCTCAGTCCAGGCCCCGGGTCCGCCCCCCTCTGGCCGCCCCGCCGGGCCTCCAGCACCCGGCCCCGGTCGCTGTTGTCCCGGCTGCCGCCGCCGCCCCCCTCGCGGCGCCTCCAACCCCATGCGGGCCGCCGCGGGCAGCGCCCCGGCCTCTGCCTCGTTCAGGCTTCCCCTACACGGGCAGCGCCTCATGCCCGCTCCCTGGATTGGGGCTCCGGCCGGCCGGGCACCTCCTTCCCCTTTAAATCCTACGAGGGGTGTGGCTGGGGAGCCCCGACTCGCGGTTCCGGCCCACAGAGCTCCGGCGTGCCCCGCCACGCAGGGGTTAACCGATACTCCACCTCCAGGGAAAAGCCCCTAAGGCCCGCCCACAGGACGTGACGTAAATGGGAGAGGTCTTTTGTGGCCCCGCCCATCTACATCAGAGAATGTTGTCTCCAAGTGCTGGACGCGAGACTAAGTCAGGTCTGCACCACTACTGTCTGGTTGTACTCCTGTGGGTCCCCACCTCAGCCCCCGTGACCAACCCAGTCTCCCTATATCAGGTGACCCGTGGACGAATCCGATCGCACGTGCATTCTTCATGCACAAGCAGGACGGACTTTTCAAAAACTTGGGGATTTCACAGACGTGGTTCGAGACCCGCCTCCGTGACTTGAACGCTCCATTGAATTTTCCGTAAGAAATCTCACGCATAAAAAGCACTTGTTCTGTACCAGGCCCTGACACTATTTCACTGCTTTTCTCTGTCGCTAAAACTAAGCAGGAAGGGATGCCCAGTTGACAAATGAGGAAGCTGAGGCTCAGAGTTCTGCCAGTTTCTAGTCTTTTTTAGCCCCAGAGCTATTTGGTATGACCTCATGTACGTGAAGCATGTGGTGTCAGACTTGGCACTGTCAGCCACAGCCCTGTAGGGTTAGTTGTCATTGGTGTTTTTTACATAGTTTGCCCCCAAAGGTGAACTGCCCCCAGCTCCTGAGTCAGATCCTCACTATTAGAGGGGGACAGGAGGTAGTTTCAATCTTGAAATTGAGTCACCCTGGGAGGAACAATGGGCATAGACCCAAGGCTCTAGAATGAGTCATCTCTTTACAGACCAATGAAAAGTCAAAGGCAGGATCCCACCTGGTACATGATACACGTTGGGGAATTGAGGTCCAGAGCGGGAGCAGGGTTCTTCTGAGGTCACACAGCAGAGGGGATAGAGACAGAGAGGCCTGATTCCCGACAAAGACGGTTGGATGGGAGAGCCGATTGCTGTGGGAGACACATCGGCATTCCCCCTTCTCCCAGTGGGAGATGCCCCCGCCAGCTGTTTCTATTCCAGACAGTGAGAAGAGGGGTGAGTCAGCCCCCAGCACGCGCGCGCGCGCGCGTACACACACACACACACACACACACACACACACACACACACGCAGATGGACTGGGAGGCTGATTTTCTGGGACGCCAAGTTTCCTGACTCAGCACTGGGAATCTTGGCTGAATGTGTTCTGGGAAATGTCAGGCCTACAGGAAACAGAGGACTCCCACTCGCGCCATCCCGCGTGTGGGTGGAGAGCAGAGAGAGCAGGGTGTGTGAGGGAACAGAGGCTCAGTGTGCAAGTGAGGGGGTTTATGTACACGGCAGAATTGAGGTTGTGAGTCGGAGACATTTGCCGAGCAAGGCAGAGGATTTATAAGCTCACGGAAGGAGGATGGGTGCCAGGATGTGGGTGTTTGTGCAAAGTGGAGGGGCTCTATGTACAGGAAAATGTTTGCTTGGTAGAAATGCCTTTCAAAGGAGAGACGTTGAGCCTGCCAGGAGGAAAAATAAGATAGGTTGGCAAGATGTTCCAGCAAAGAGGCGTGACGTTTGTAAGGAAAAGTGATGTTTCCAAGAAAGACAGTATAGGGAACTGAAAGGTCCGCTGCTTATAAGGCACTTTTAAGTGGGTGGAAAGGTAAAAAGCTGGTGAGCGCCCAACAGCGCCCTGCAATCCCCGTTAGCCCAGCGCCTGGGTCCCGCCCCTAGCCCCGCCTCCTGCGCACAGCGGGATGCGCCTTGTGCCTGTCAGCAATTCACTGTTTCGCCATTGGCTAACTGACCGGAGGGGGCGGGCGTGCAGATGTTCCCGGAAGCAGAGCAGGCCCCATGCGTCTCGGGCCTGGAACTGAACCGTTGGTGCTTAGCAACTGGGGGAGGTGCCCAGTAACGCGGTGGGGGGACTCGGGAGGAATTGTGGGTGCCTAGCAACAGAGGGTAAGGTGGTGCCTAGCAACGAGGGGCTCAGAAAGGTAGAGAGGTAGCCCTGGAGGATCTGTGGGTGTCTAGCAACGGGGGAGGACCCTAGCAACAGCGGGGGTGGGAAGGCACCAGGGGAGAACTTTGGGTTCCTGCCAACCAGCGGGGGTAACCAGGAGAAACTGTGGGCATCTATTAGCAAAGGAGGAGGTCTTTGGTAGATGGCAGTCTTAGAGAAGGTGGACACGGGAATGTGGGGGCCCTGCAAAGAAGGGCAGAGCCGAGAGGCCAGTCCAAGAACTCTTATATATAATCCATCCTCTTGATCTGAGTTCAAAGCCAGCCTCAGCAACTTACCGAGGCCCTAAGCAATTCAGTGAGACCCTGTCTCTAAATAAAATACAAAAAAGGGCTGGGGGTGTGGCTCAGTGGTTAAGCGCTCCTGGATTCAATCCCTGGTACCAATAATAATAATAATAATCCCTCCTCTTGTCTCTTAGGCAATGTGGCTAGAGGTGGTTGGTGTACTGCATGGGACCTGTGGACAACTGGGCCGGACTGTTGGTCTGCCTTGTTGGGGCCGGGTGCCTAGGCCCCACTGGTGGGTAAGAGACTGGAGAGATGGTCCCCAGGGGGAGGGGGCCTGAGGAGGGTTCAAGAGGTAAAAGAACAGGGAGGAGGACTGAGGGTGGCTCAGTGGTAGAGTGCTTGCCTAGCATGCATGAAGCCCTAGGTTCGATCCCCAGCACTCCAAAAAAGTAAAAACAAAACAGGGAAGGGACTCAAAGGTCCAGGCAGACCCTATGTCCTCCACTTCTTACCAAAGTCCACATCTCTTGCAGGGACCATGTAGGGGTTCTTGGGCCCAAAAGTTTCATCAGGATGGGCCTGGAAGAGGCCTGCACGAGGAGGATATTCGCAGAGCACGGGAGGCCCGTCTCAGAAAGACACCCCGGCCCCAGGTACCATTGCCCCTCATCCTGTAACACCCATGAAGACTGCTGGCTTCCTGATCTTGAGGACATGGTTGGTGGCAGGTTGGGTGGACTCCCCCAGCTCTGCGGCCACCTTCTCACCCTCAGACCTTTTCTCCATTTCCCAGCTGAGCAATCGCTCTCAAGAACGCAAGGTACCTGTATCCCGCATTAGTCGACTGGCGAGCTTTGGGGGTAGGTGTGACTTTTGGAGATCTGGATATGACTTAGATCAGAAGAATGAAGAAAGGGAAAGATGAATCAGAAATGAAGAGGACAGAGAGACAGGGAAAGAATGACAAAGACCAAGGCCTGCAAGCCAAGAGAAATAGAGGAATGTAAATGATGGTAATATTTATTGAGAACCTTTAATGTACAAGGTCCCCTACACAGTGAACTCCTGTACTGAGTTGATGAGTAATTTATTTCCATTCCATAGATGAGGAAATAGCAGCTAAGAGAGGAGATTACCTTGACTCTGGGTCATGCTACAGGGTTGTTCAAACCTGCACAAAATAATTTAGTGGGTTGCAACTAACATTCTTTAAAAAGAATAAAGCCAGGCGTGGTGGTTCATGCCTTTAGTCCCAGCTAATTGGGAGGCTGAGGTGGGAGGATCGCTTCTCTCTCTTTCTCTCCCTCCCTCCCTCTCCCTCTGCCTCTCTCTCTCTCTCTCTCTCTCTCTCTCTC